TGCTGGTGCCCACGTGGGGCCGTGCCCCCCTGACCTTCAGCTTAAATAGCCTGCCTGCATGCCCCTACAGCCGTGTATTTATAGAGTGCGGTCAGATTGCCCCTCCTGCCCATGCCAGGTGGGAGAAGCTCCTCTGTGCCAGGCAGTGGGTGACCTCTGCATGTCCCTGGCTGCTCCCAGCCCAGCACCCTTCAGTGGGGACATGAAGCAAGATGAACTCTGTGAGAGTGCCCTGCTCCCTGTTCCCTGCCCCACAGTGCTTGGGGGGCGCCCTGCAGGGTGGGGAGCTGCCCTTCCCTTGGATGGGGGTGCCCCTGGCAGAGCAGGGAGCCCTGGCAGCCACTGCCCTGCAGCCAGGCCCCCTGCATCCTCTGAGTGCTGAGCAGGAGCTGTAGCTTTGGCACTGCCACTGTCCCCTTCACCATCAGCGTCCCTGGTGCTGCCTGGGAGCTTCAGTCCCTGCACTGGTGGAGGGAGCTGGGCACAACAGGGGCTGCAGCTCCCAGTGCAGGGACCCAGGCACTGTGCCCAGCATGAGCCAGCCCCATGTCCCAGCCCATCGGTGAGTAAGGGTGAGCTGGCTGCCCGCCCTGCCCCTGCAGGTCACTGCCACGTGCCCAGCCCTCACATGCCAGTGCACACATCCTGGGCTGTGGAGCAGCATGACCCCAGGGACCCTGCCACAGCACAGTGTCCCTGGCTCACCGTGCCACAGCCTCACCAGCCCTGGGGCCAGGTGATCCTGTTGTGAACTTTCCTTATCACCCACCCTTGAGGCTGCTGCTGCAATGCTGCTGGTCACTGTCCTGCACGTGCCAGAGCCCCATCCCTTTGGGGACAGCCAGGCAGGCAGGGGGGTCTGCTGCGGGCAGTGGTGCCCTGTGAAGGTGGGAGACCCAGTGAGATGCAGGGGTTGAGTGGGACTGGTCACCACCCCCTTACCTCACCTCACCTCTCCTCTCCCTTCCAGTGATCCGAGCCAAGGCCGTCTCTGCGAAGGAGGTGGATTCGGGGAATGACATATACGGGAATCCCATCAAACGCATCCAGTATGAAATCAAGCAGATCAAGGTGAGGGGGGCACATCATCGGGTCAGGAGGCTGGGGCCCTGGGGTGGCCCCTTCACCAGCCACTCATGCCCCCCTCTGCTCCCCAGATGTTCAAGGGCCCCGACCAGGACATAGAGTTCATCTACACGGCTCCATCCACTGCCGTGTGCGGCCGGCTGCTGGACACCGGCGGGAAGAAGGAGTATCTCATCGCAGGTGAGCACTGCGGGGAGCCGGGACGCTCGGGGGCGAGGGACACTGCTGGCCAGGATGCCCCATGTGCCCTGCAAGGTGCCTGATGTGTGCCTGCTCCCTGGGCACATTTCTCCCCTTGCCCCTCCTGCTCCTGCCACCAGCCCTCGGGGAACGCCCTGGCTGTGTCCTGGCTGTGCTCGGCAGCCACGAGCCACGGTGGGGGCAGCTGGGGACAAACCTCTGCTTGCCAGAGTCACCAGGGACAGGGCACAGTGAGGGCCCCAGCACCGTGAGTCAGCACAGGCTCTTGAGGCCCTTGGCAACCCCCTTGAATGGTCTGTTTGGCCTCTCCCCAGGCAAGTCAGAGGGCAATGGCAAGATGCACATCACGCTCTGTGACTTGGTGTCCACCTGGGACTCGCTGACTCCAACCCAGAAGAAGAGCCTAAACCAGCGGTACCAGATGGGCTGCGAGTGCAAGGTAGAGCAACCAGGCTGCCCCCCACATGCCCCATGCCCCTACCAGGGAGGGCCTGCAGCCCCCAGGCAGGGGTGGGCTCCGCAGTGAGATGCTCTTCCCTGTCCGTCCTGGGTGACATTGTGCAGGGACACAGCACGTGGCTGGGCAGACAGGAAGGGCTGGGCAGACAGGAAGGGCAGCCCTGCCTCTGGCTTCCTCCAGCAGGGAACAAAGGCCCGCCCTGGCACTGGCAACCAGGGGTTCCCCGGTTCCCTGCACTGGGGTTGCATCCCCACCGTGCCCCACAGGGCAGGGTCAGCCTGGCATCCCAGTCCAGAGCCGGGGCGTGGATGAAGCAGAGCACGGCTGCTTCCCCCTGGCCCCGTGCGCCCTCGGTTGCTGGGTGACCGTCTCTGTTATGCACAGATCTCGCGCTGCCTCTCCATCCCCTGCTTCGTCTCCTCCTCGGATGAGTGTCTGTGGACAGACTGGGCGATGGAGAAGAACAACGTGGATGGGCGGCAGGCGAAGCACTACGCCTGCATCAAGAGGAGCGACGGCTCATGCGCCTGGTACCCGCGGCATGGCCCCCCCCAAGCAAGAGTTTCTCGACATCGAGGACCCCTAAGCCAAACGAGCGCATTCCAGTAGCCAGTAGAAAAAACCTGCGAGATGTTAGACTGGTCCACGCTGATATCAAATCCTGGAGACAGCATGAAAATCCTCTTGGCCGCAGGGGCCCCGGTGGCTGCCACCCGTGCGTGGGGGCCAGGGCCAGGGACCCGCTCTGGCGCAGGCTCCTGGCAGCCCGCAGCTGCACTGGGCATCCTTCCCTCGTGGCAGGGCTGAGCAGGGCGTGGGGAGCTCCCTGCCGGGGTCACGATCCCCCAGCCATGCTTGGCTCTGGCAGCTGTGAAGGAATCAAGCCCTTGTGAGTGGTGGGAGCTGCCCTGGCTGCGTAGCAGGTCTACCAGTGCCCCGCTGCGGGAGCCTCCCCCGCAGCTCCAGACACACAGCCCTCCCACCGCAGCTCCTGGCAACCCTGCTGACCACTCCCCCCAGCACCTACCTCTCCCTTTGGGGTGCCAGAAGGGTACCCCTCTGGGCAGGGCTCTGGGGGGCTTTACCATGGGGCAAACCCCCAGCAAGGGGCTCCGGGCCCTCCACAGGGCCAGATGACTCCTGCACAGGTGCCTTGTCCCAGAAAGCTGGAGGGGCATGTTAGCATATCTGGGGTGACCCCTGACATGCACCCCTGCACTGTTGCCTCTCTCTCCACATGGTCCTCTCTCCAGGGATCTCTGTTCCCCTGCAACCTCCTACAGATCCTTCTGCAGATGCCACCATTGGACAGGCTCGACCTGGAACCCTTGGCAGGGCCCCAGGGGCCGCAGCTCTGGCTGCATGGGCACAGGGTGTCCATCATCGCCTCGTGCAGATCGGGGCCATGCCGTGGCCGTCAGCACCGCTTGCAGCCAGGCAAGCTCCCTCCTCTGCGGTGTGGGAGTGGAGCCTGGAACTGGCAGCCGGGCACTGCAGGAAAACCTGTGACCCCTCAGACCCCTCGGCCCTGAGTTCTCTGAGCCATCCCCATGCCATAGCGATGCTGGCGTGTGCCGCGGAGCTGCTGTGGCACTGGCACGTGCACCCATGGCTTTTGGGAGCGTGCCGGGAATGCTCCCTGCAGCCCTGTGCCCGTGGGGTTTTCATGCTGTGCGTCCCTGTAAGGTTTGAGATGTCGTACTGGACCAGTCTGGGCAATTTCAACATATTAAAGAGAAAAATTAAAAAGAAAGAAAAAGAAAAAAAACCCCCAACCTTTACTCAGTCCCGACCGCGCATCCCGGGCGCTCTGTATGGCTGTACCCGTTGTGCTCCTGTCGCTGCTGCTCCTCTGTCTTTGACTTCAATATCGCCACTTGTTTTGCCGCCGGCTCTGTCGTCCCTGTGCCGTGATTTCCGTCTCCTCGTCCGGCGCTGGAGCCGCCCCGGTACCCGCGGAGGGTCCGTGCCGGGAGCTCAGGGGCAAGGGGGAAGCGGGGCGGGGACGCTGCTCCGGTTCGGCCCCGCGGCGGCTCGGCCGGGACCCCCCAGACCCCTCCGGATCCCCCGGCCTCCGCCGCCCCTGCTCGGCAGCGGAGGGAAGCGATGCCCGCGGGGCCGCCGGAGGGAAGGAACCGGGACGGGGAGGGGAAGAGCTGCTGCGGGCCCACCCTCGGACGCGGGCGGCAGCGCCGGGGGCGGGATCCGACGGGACCGGGAGCGGAACCGGGAGCGGGACCGGGCAGGGCCGTGATTCAGGGGCGAGGGCGGGCCCGGGTACCGCGTGGTGGCCGGTCCGCGTGGAAACGTCCCCTGGCGGGACCGTCCGCTGTGGGCGCGGCGCTGCCGCCTCCTGCCTCGGTCCGCGCCGGGCCCGCAGCGGGCGGAGCCGGTGTCCCCGTTGGCTCTCCCGAACGAGGGGCGGAGCGCCCGCGGCTCCAGGCTGCGCCGGGCCGGGCGGAGCGGGGCCGCCCCGCGGGGCCGGGCGGAAGGAGCTGCTGGCCGTGTGGCGACACGTGCGTGCGGCGGGACCCGGATGGTGAGCGCTGCCGGGGCCGGGCGGGACGGGCCCGGGGACGCGGGGCCTGCGCCCCCGTCCCGCCGCGCTCCTCGGCCCTGCCGGCGGGGCCGCCCGTGGGGAGCGGAGCGCCGGCACCGCCCGGGCCGCATATGGCGGCGGCCGGGCCGAGACCGCGCGGCGGCGGCGGCGCTCGGGGCCGCGGGTGGCGGCGGGGGCTTGGCGGCGGCGCTCGGGAGCCGCCGAGGGGGCCGTGGCGGCGGCCGGCCGCTCTGAGAGCCGGAGCGCAGCGGGAGCGGCCTGGCCGGGCCGGTGCCCCCCCGCTCAGCCGCCGCTTTCCGCCCTCTCTGCAGGCGCGGCCGCCGGGCCCGCCGAGCCGGCCGCCCTCGGCGATGATCGCGGAGAAGCTGCGGGAGGCGCTGGAGCCGGGGCGGCGGGAGGCGGCGGCGGAGCTGGCCCGGCCGCTGGCCGCCGCCGCCCGCTCCGTGCTGCAGCAGCGCATCGAGTTCGTGCCCGCCCGGCGCGGCCTGGCCGGGCAGTCTGGGGCACCTGCGGGACAAGTACGAGCGCATCGGGGCCGAGCCCATCGGCCGCCCCCTCGGCGTCACCGGCAGCCTTGCGGAGCGGCCGCAGAACCCCCCGGGTGAGTGGAGAGGCCGAGGGGACCCCGCCGCGCTCCTGCGCTGGCTTGGCTCACTGTGTCTGCTCCCCGCAGGACACGGCCATGCCCCGCCGCGGGCCGGGGGGGACGGGATCCCCCCGCCGCAGAAGGTGCTCTTCCCAGCACACAGCCTCTCCATGAAGTGGGAGCGGGTTCACCGAGTGGGCGCCGGGCTGAGTAACCTGGGGAACACCTGCTTCCTGAACTCGGCGCTGCAGTGCCTGACCTACACGCCGCCTCTCACCAACTACCTGCTGTCCCGGGAGCACGGGCGCACCTGTGAGTGGGGACCCGGTTCAGGGCCCGGGAGGGACGAGCAGCGTCTGCCTGTTCTGCTCACAGTGCTGCGCTCAGCGCCTCTGTGCCTGGCTCTGTGAGGGAGTGCAGAGGACACACCTTCCCTGCCCTGCTCCTTTCTGCCTGTTCTTCTGTCAAGAGCCTGTTCCTGGGTCCTACTCACTTTTCCTGGCCATAGCAGTGTTCCCAAGCTTGGCATCTTTGTCTCTGCTGGGTGTAGCCAGGACTAAGATGGGCCCAATGGAGCCTGCTGGCTTCTTGGGGGCTCAGCTGGGGGGTCCTGAGTAGCCCCTGACTGTGGGGAGTGCAGAAGAGGAGTGTGCCAGGCGCTGCTGTGAACTGTCACCACAGGAACACACAGGCCTTGCAGCCCCATCCCTAGGACTGCCTGCAGGATGTGCCCCTCAGGGCCAAGCTGTGGGCTGGTCCAGTGCATACCTGGGACCTGTTTTCTCTCAATGTGAACACTGTCTCATCTGGGGAGCTGCCCTGGCTGCTCCTGGGATGGGCTGTGCCAGCTGGGATGGCACAGGCTGGTCCCCATCTCCTGGGATGGGCTGTGCCAGCTGGGATGGCACGGGCTGGTCCCCATCTCCTGGGATGGGCTGTGCCAGCTGGGATGGCATGGGCTGGTCCCCATCTCCTGGGATGGGCTGTGCCAGCTGGGATGGCACAGGCTGGTCCCCATCTCCTGTGGCATTGAGCTCATGGGGAAAGCTGAGGGTTCCTGAGCTGTATTGGACCAGAGATCCCTGTCCTGCCTCCATCTCTCCTGGGTTTGTCCCCAACATCGTGTCATCTCTCCTGCTCCAGGTGCCCATGGAAGCTTCTGCATGATGTGCACTATGCAGAACCACACGATTCAGGCTTTTGCCAACAGCGGCAATGCAATAAAGCCACTCTCCATCATCCGGGACCTGAAGAGTAAGGAGGGCTGCCCCCCCCCCCCCCCCCCCCCCCCCCCATGACTAATGTGGGAGCAGAACTGTTGGGACTGGGGCGTGTTTGGGCAAACAGCTCCACTGAGATGGCTCATGGAGCCTCGGAGTGCCTGGAGACTCCTTGGGCCGCCAGGGGCTTCCTGTGTGACATGAGTCTGGTGTCCAGTTTGGGTTGAGGGGACTCAGAGCCCAGAGTCCTTGCCCCAGGGAAGGCAGGGAGGGATGGCATCTCTTGCAGCACGTGCTGAATCCTCTCTCTCTGTTGCAGAGATTTCCCATAACCTGCGCTTCGGCAGGCAGGAGGATGCGCACGAGTTCCTGCGCTACACCATCGATGCCATGCAGAAGGCCTGCCTGAATGGCTACACCAAGTATGTGGGGCCTGATGGCCCATCACTGCTCTTTGCTGTTCCCTTGCTGGTCCCCTGCACTCACGGGAGTGGACTGTGGAGTGAACATGTGCCCCAGGTCAGCCTTACTGTGGGGAGGTTCTGACTCCAGGGGCCTCGGGTGTGGGGTCCAGCTCTGCCCCTCAGGGACAGGGCTCTGGGCTGTTGTTCACCTTCTGCTGACTCCTCCACCTCAGCATAGCTGCAGTCCTGCCCCCAGATCCTGAGGCTGCTACAGGCTGGGATCACATCCCACTTGCTGAGGGATACTTGCTAGCACAGCCCCAGCTCTGTGACTGGGAAGGGCAGCTTCCCCCAGGCCCTTTGTCCTTGGAAGCGCTGCCTCTGCTCTGAGCTCCAGCCAGGAGCTTCTGCTTCCTTGAGAGGAAGGTGTGTGTTGGAGCCTGGTGTCACCCCTCAGGTGGGACACAGGGAGAGCAGTGTGCCAGAGGCTGTGACTTCCCACAGCCCCTGGGGCTCCCCAGCCCAGCCACTGGCCACAACACAGAGGGGGCTGTCCTGAGGGTCCAGCAGGGCTGGCTGCTGCAGTGTGGGATCTGTGCTGCTGTCTCTGTAGGTTGGATCGCCAGACCCAGGCCACAACTCTGGTTCACCAGATCTTCGGTGGTTACCTGCGGTCCCGTGGTGAGTACCAGCAGGCTGGGCTGGGCCTGGGCAGTAAAACCCTTTGGGAACACAGCTCACATGTTTAACTTACCCAGAGCTGCAGTCAGTCAGTCCTGCAGCACTTGTGGGTCACTCTCCCTGCTGTGGCAATGGGAGAAGCCACTGCCTGTGGGGCCCAAGCTGTGGGTCCCCAGCTCACTGCCCTCAGCACAAGGAGCTGTTCCCAGCAGTCTGGCAGCCCCTGCTTCCCCAGCACAGAGTGGATGTGCCAGCCCTCCTTCCTGCAGGGCTGTCAGTCCTGGTGCTGACATCCCAGAGCCCAGGCCTGGGCTGGGGGGACACTGCAGCTGTGTGTGCCGTGCTGGGGTGTGCCAGGGTGTGCCCATGGCTCTTCCTTTTGCAGTGAAATGCTTGGAGTGCAAGACTGTCTCGGATACCTACGACCCTTACCTGGACGTGACCCTGGAGGTCGAGGTACTGCTGCAGGGTTGGGGATGGGGCTCTCTGCTCTCGTGGGGGATGTTCCTGCTCTGAGGCTCCTTGACCTGCAGACAGGTGCTGGCAGGAGGGAAGCAGCTCCTGCTGTTGCTCCTCCTTCCCTGTCTCATGGGGCAGTGCCTGTTGAACGTGAGCCGTGCTCCTGGGCAGAGCAGCCACAGGCCAGGGCCAGGCTCAGGGCTCTGGGGCAGCCTGCAGCCCGGTGCTGTGTGCTCTCTCCTGGGGCTGGCGCCTCTGCAGGGAGTGGGGCCGTGCTGTGGGCAGGCCCCAGGTGCCCTGACCCCCGCCCTGTCCTTGCAGCGAGCCGCAAACATCGTGCGGGCCTTGGAGCTGTTTGTGAAGCCAGAGCAGCTGGGTGGGGACAACGCCTACAGGTGCAGCATGTGAGTGTGGGCTGCTGGGGCATAATGGGTCCAGGGGTGAGCTGTGGGAAGGCTGCCACAATCTGGGAGGGCTTCTTTGCCTGCTGCGTGGCTAAACCATGAGGTGCAGGGCCTGTGACGAAGCCTGCTGCTCCTCAGCTGCCTTGTCTTCAAAGGCATGGCCGTGGGGAGGTGTCTGGAGCAGTGCCTGGTGCCAGCAGCACCGTTCCCATCGGGTTTGCCATTGCTGTGTGGCCAGGGCAGGCAGCCATGTGGATGTTGGAACAGCTTGAATAGCCTGAGCTTTCCTGGGCAGGTGCAGGAAGAAAGTGTCAGCCAGCAAACGTTTCACCATCCACCGAGCCTCCAACGTTCTCACCATCTCACTGAAACGCTTTGGCAGCTGCGGCCCTTCAGGGGGAAGGAAAATCACCAAGGTGAGAGCTCAGTGATCCACAGCCAGGGCTGTGTCCTGGCCCTGAGCAGGGCAGGGGTCCTGGTGCAGTCTTGGGGCCGTTCCCCACTGCTGCCAGTGAGGAAAGTTGGGTTCATCCTTCCTTGCCACAGTCTGTGCCTGGGGAGAGCAGGTCCCCTCCCTCAAGAGATGGTGGGGCTCATAGCACAGCAGAGCTGCTCTTGCTCTGGCAAGGCAGCTCCTGAGACATCTTCTTTCCACAGGACGTGGGATACCCCGAGATCTTGGACGTCCGGCCTTACATGTCCGAGCCCAAGGGCGATCCCATCACGTATGGCCTCTATGCAGTGCTGGTGCACTCTGGGTACAGCTGCAACGCTGGGCACTACTTCTGCTATGTGAAAGTGAGCCCAGGATGCTCCCCTGGGACCCTGTCTGGGCTGGGGCCTGGGAGATGCTTGTGGGTCCCTTTAGGGTGCAGAAAGGAGGGTGCTTGGCAGGGTGGGTGGTGTGGAGCACTGCACATGGGGCACAGACTGTGCTCCCCTGCAGGAAACATGAAGGTCTGCCCTGACAGAGCTCCCTGGCCCGCCCCTGGGCCATCTGTGGGTTTTGGGGAGAGGGGCTGTGGTGATGGGTGCTGTTCCTGCTGCTCTGCAGGCCAGGATGGGTCCCTGGGCAGAGCCTGACCCCATTCTCCTCAGACACAGCCTGATCAAGCTCCATGTTCTCTTCCACAGGCCAGCAATGGGCAGTGGTATCGAATGAATGACCACGAGGTCCACCCCAGCAACATCAAGGTGGTTCTCAACCAGCAGGCCTATGTGCTGTTCTACCTGAGGTGAGAGAGCACCTGTGCCTCATGGCCCCCAAGGCCCCTGTGTGTGTGCTGGCCCAGGGTGGAGGGTGCCAGGGAGGGGTCCAGCCCCTTGTCATGGTTTGCTGTAGCTCCTCACCTCCTCCAGCCCCCTGCTCCCCTTCCTGGTGTGTGCTGCTCACCCACGTCCCCAGGGCTGATGTGCTTTGCCTTCCCCAGGCTGGGCAGCCCCAGGAAGAGCTCAGCAGGGCCCGTGGCCACGGCTGCCTTCAGCCCACCCAGCTGCACTGCCAGTGACTCCAAACCAGTGAAGAAACCTGCCATTAATGGGACCCTGTGTGTGCCACCCATGGGCCTGGTGAGTCCCGAAGGTTGGTGCTCCCAGGAGCTGCTGCTCCACAGGCCCTGGGGCTGCAGCCAGGCTGGGGCTGGAGGAGTGGGAGGGTGTTGTGCAGGGGAGATGCTGATCCTGCTGAACCCAGGGATCCTGGCTGGGCATGGGGAGGCTGGTATCACTGTGTCTGTGGCTCTCCTCACTGAACTTCGCTCTTTCTCTGTGTCTAGAAACAAGACAAGCTGCTGGGGAAGGGGCTGCCAGGCCCAGGTGATGTTGGAGTCCCTGTTGCCCGCAGCTCTCCTGGGATGGGGTCAAAGCTGACAAACGGAGTTGCTCTGTCAAAGCTTCCCTTTCAGACCCCATCATCCAAACTGCCCCACAAAGCCACCCACGAAGCCACTCTGCTGGGCTGTGACACAGGCCAGAGGCCCAAGAAGCCACAGACACCTGGCATGCCCAGAGCAGGCGGCTTCCATGCCACCAGCACCATGTGCGGGGCCAGAGCAGGGCTGTCCCCACAGGCCTCAGACAGGGAGAAGCCACCTACCTCATCCAAGCTGCTGAAGTCCAGCCAGGAGCCCAGTGGCTGCGGGGCAATGAAGAGGAATTCCTGGGGCAGCACTGTAGGGCAGCTGGCCAAGGAGACCCACGGGGCCAAGAGCAGTTCCAGCAGCTTCTGCACCTCTCAGGGAAGGGACTCTGGCACCCACCTCCCTGCTGGCCCTGGCACCACGCTGGCTGTCCCTAGAGACTCTGACCTGGCTGCCCCCAGCAGCTCTGGGACAGCCCCTGGGAAGCCCTCCCTGCTGGGCAGCACCACAGCAGCGCTGCTGGCCAGGAAACCAGAGCTCTCAGCCAAAAAGGTGAGCCTGAGCTTCTGCCCCGAGACTCAGGGCAAAGCCTTGTGCCTTCTGAGCGGGCTGTGTAGGGCTCCTGCTGACAGGGGTGGGTGGGGAGAGCCCCCCAGCTCCAAACCCAGGCTGTGGTGGCTGCTCCCCCCTCTCTGGATCAGGCCTTGCTGTTGTCCACATCCCTGAGTGATGCAGGGGATGGCTCCTGCCCCTTGCCTGGTTCAGAGGGGTGACTGTGCCAGTGCCTGCAGAGCAGGGGGCCTTGGCACCCTTTGGTGTCACCTGTCCCCGGGGCCAGGGGCAGGGGGGGATGGCACAGCAGGAGGGTGTGGGGGTGCCTCCTCCACAGGCAGTGAGTGGGCTCTGGAGGGTGCACTGGGCTTCCAGGTCTTTACATTTCTCTCCTTTCTTTTTTCCTTTGTTCTTCTAACTAAACACTCTTCTGATTCTCCCACCCCCCACTTCCCTGCCCCTGTCTGTGTCTGTTCTCCTCCCCTTTCTCCGGGCTCCCCTTTTTCTCTTGGTTCATGGAAACCCTGGTGTTAGACGGCCAAGTTTTTATTTATGTCCATAACTGCAGGACAAAGCCTCTCAGAAGGTGAGCATGAGGGACCACCCAGCACAGCCCCAGCCCTCAGCCAGCACCCATCCTGACTCCACTCCTGGGCCTCTGGGCAAGTCCAGGTAAGCAGTGCCATTGCTCCCAGCTCCCACAGGGCAGGAAGGCTGTGGGTGACCCACGGGGTATTTGTGTGGCCTTGCAGCAGCTTTTCTGTTCTCCAAGGCTGGCAGGGCTTGCTCCAGGTCTGAGAAGAGCTGACTTCAGCACACAGTGGGAGGGAGCTTTGCAAGGCCCTGACCCTGTACTAACGTCCCATGGGATCAGGAGGCACCAGCCTGGTCTCGATCTTGCTCTGGGTGTCCCTTGTAGCCTTCAGCACCAGCATGTGCAGCAGCAGCACCCACTCTTTCCTGGTCTGCTGTGGGACCTGTGGGTGCTTGCAGAGCAGCATCTGATTCCCCTTTTCTGGACAAGGTGGCAGCAGTTGGGTGTTGTGCTCCTGCACCTCAGGGGAGGGAGGAAGAGAGGGGCTCCCAGGCTTTCGGATCAGCCTCTTTTCCTGTCCTTCAGCCTGTCCTCATTTAGTCTTCTTCCCAGTCCTGAAAAGTCTCAGCTCCGTGCTCACCTTGCCTGCTCAGCACCCAGCCTCCCTGCTGACCCCTGGTCCCACTGCCCACACTTCACCTTCTTTCCAGCAGCAGGCAGACGGGGTCTGGCCAGGAGGAGCCGGAGGTTTCCTTCAAAAAGAAGCGAAGGAAGAGGAAACATCGTAGCACAGACAGGAGCCCTTGTGCTGTGGCTGTGAGGGACGGGGATGAAGGCTCCAGCCCTCCCAAGAAGGAGAGGATTGTTTCTCCAGAGGGCTGCAAGGACAGAGAGTCCGGGCTCCCCAGGAAGGAGGGCATTGCCTCTCAGAAGGACTTCATTGAGAAAGACTCCAGGCCCCCCAAGAAGAAAAGTGTCTCTCCAGGGGACTTTGTATCTGTCATGGGGAAGGAGGGGGCACACAAGGGTCTCAGCCATGGTCTGGCCTGTCAGGACATGAAGAGTGGGCCCAAGCAACTTGTGCCAGAGCCCAGTACTGGCCTGGGCATGGAGCCAGCTTCACCCCTCAGGAGGAAGAAGAAGAAAAAGAAGAATAGGAGCAAAGACAGCCCTTTGAAGAAGACAGAAGAGTGCAGCTCTGGGATGCTGTCTTCAGACAGGTAAAGGGCCGAGGGGCGTGGGAGAGCCTGAGGTCAGGCTCCCTGAGCCAGGAGCTTCTCATCTCTGTGCAGGTGGGATGCGCCTCAGCGTGCATCCAGCTGACCACCCGATCCCTGTGGGCGGGTTCACCTCAGGTGTCTCTGTGCTCTGTGCTCTGTGGGAAGCTCAGACTCTCCTGCCCTGGTCTGGCTGGTGTGAGCTGACCCTGCTGCCTTCCCCAGCTCCAGGACAGCTGAGCCAGAGCCCTGTGGGACGCATCAGAGCGTGGAGGCTGGAGAGCACAAGCACCGCAAACGCAAGAGGATGGAAAGCCTCAGCAGCCTGGCTGCCAGCACTGTCCCTGCCACCACTGCCACCGCCCCAGGTGTGACCCTGTGCCCTGCCTGGTGTCTGCCCAGGAGCCCCCTTGGAGCACTGCTGTGCCATCCCCAGCATTGCTGGTCCCACAGCTGCCTGGCAGTGCCCGTGTCCTGTGCCCTGGAGGAGGAAGTGGGGACAGGCCATGGTTGGCCCCCAGGACAGGCACTTGTGTGCCCAGACACCCTCAGCCATCAGGACCTTGTTCAAATGGTGTTTCCTGGGCTGAGATCACTTTGGAGAGGGAGGGACGTGGCAGCTGCCCTTGCTCCCCCTGGCTCACCCTCACCTTGCCTCTTCTGCAGTGGCAGCACGTCCCAGTGACAGCCAGACTGGGGACGAGAGACCCTCCCTGGCTGCCCCGAGCCCCGTGGCCAGCGGCTGGGCTGGCACAGCCCCTGAGGGCCACGAGTCCAGCGTGGTGGACAAGCTGCTCCAGAACTCCTTGGACAAGGCTTACGGCAAGCAAGGTAATCCTGGCTCACCTGGCGGGCAAACAGCCGTGCAGCCCCCCTGCCCTAAGCCCTGGGTGGGGGCAGAGCCCCCCAGCTCTGCAGGGCCTGAGCTCCCCCAGCCAGGGCAGGCAGCGGCTGCTCCTGGGAGCAGGCAGGTGCAGCCGGGTGTGGGGCTGGCACAGGGTGGGCAGCAAGGGCAGGGCCTGGGGCAGCAGGGCACAGCCTGGTCCTTCTGCTGACTTCGCTGCTCTGCAGTCTTGACCTGGCAGGGTGAGATTTCGGCCGTGAGCCAGGATGCCATTCGGGACACAGCACTGGCCCAAAGCAAGACCGTCATTGATGAGTGGGACCAGGAGTTCGACAAAGGAAAGGTGGGTGCTGGGCTGGGGCAGGTGGGAGGAGGCTGGGGCCTCTGCACGCTGACCTGAGCGCTCTCCTACCTCTGCACAGGTAAAGAAAATGAGGAAGATGAAGCAGGAGCGGAGGAGAGACTCAAATCCGTTCCAGAAGTTGCAGAACAAGCGCAACTTCTGGTTGATGTCCCATCCTGCCAAGATGGCCAGCCTGGGCCACCGGCTCTCAGGTGAGTGAGCCCGGGGGCACAGCGAGCCGGGGGCTGAGGGGTGGCAGCCTGCTGGGGGCTGACTCTGCTCTTTGCCTCGCAGGTTGAGATCTGCATCCCCAGCTGCTCAGGGAGCAGTCCCGGGTCAGGGACCGAGGGCAGCACTGTCCTGGGAGCTGTCGGTGGAGCTGAGAGGGGAGGGAATACAGCCGCAGCCCTGGGCTTGTGCCTTTTCCTTCGGGGAGCTGCTTTCCAGCTGCAGAGGAGCCTGCCCACGCTGCCTTGCCTCCAGCCTGCCTCGGCCGGGCTCCTCATCATCTTCTCCGTGCCTGTTCCCCTCCTGCCCCAGCCCACACCTGCGGGGGCTCCTGGCAAGTGCCTCAAGCTGGTCCCTGTTGCTCCGTGCTGCTGTGCGTCCCCTCTGTCACCGTTACCGGCCCTCGCTCCATGAGGCCCCATCCCTGCACGAGCTGCATGGAGAGCCTCCCCCGGCCCCGTGTCGGCCCGGCCCCGCGCTGGCGCAGGGGCACCGGGGGCATGGATCCCTGCGGGGCCGGAGCGCTGCCGCCGGGGCTGCGGGACTTGAAGGATGGAACTGAATAAATCCCGGTCTTTGTCACTCGGCCATGGTCGGCTGCGGTTGCAAGGGGCGAGCGGCGGGAGGGGTCACCGGGATGGGGGAAATCACCGGGACCGGGTGGGGGTCACCGGGACGGGGAGGGGTCACCGGGACGGGGAGGGGTCACCGGGATGGGGAGGGGTCACCGGGATGGGGGGAATCACCGGGACCGGGAGGGGTCACCGGGACGGGGAGGGGTCACCGGGATGGGGGGAATCACCGGGACCGGGTGGGGGTCACCGGGACGGGCGGCAGAGGGGCGGGGGCTGCCAGGCTCCGCCCCTCCCGGGTCACGTGGTGCCGGCCGTGGCGGCTGCGGCGCGCTCGTCACGCGGGCGGGGCCGGAGCGGCTGCGGCGGGATGGAGGAGGAGGAGGGCGGCGGCTGCGGTCAGTGCGGGCCGGGGGCGGGCGGGGGGCTCTGGGACACCCACCTGGCCCGGGGCGAGCCGCCGGGGTAGTCCGTAGTCCCCGCTGGGCGGTGGCGCCTCTCCCGGGCGGGGCGCGCTTGGGCCGGGCCGCTCCCAGGTGCAGGACCGGGGGCGGTGGCTCCGGGACGGGCGGGGATTCGGCTGCGGGACCTGCGCCCGCAAGTGCCAGAGCGGCCTTGGCGGCATCGTGCGGGTGGCGGCGGAGGAAGCGCCGGGCGGAACTGGCACCTGGTGCCCGCCGGCAGCGCGAGGGGCGGGCGCGCCGCCGGGCCGCCCTCCCGGGGCCGCGGAGCTCCGGTACTGCCCGCACGCCTTCCGTCCGGTGCTCCCCCGGCACTGCCGAGCCCGGCCCCGCAGAGCTCGGGGCAGGTTGGCCGCGATGGTGCCTGCTGAATGTCACAGCCCCCGGTTCGGGAGCTCCCGGTGTGCCCGGAGCCGCTCCCGGGCGGGCCCGGTGGCTCGGCGGTTGCAGGGTCTCCCCTCTCATGCCCGTGCATTCTGCCCTCCGTGCCCGCAGAGCGTTCCTTCCTGCCGGTGCCGAGGACCGGGACTGGCAGGGACGCCCTGCCTGTGCCGGGCTCTCCCAGGCAGGTGCCCGTGTGTCGGCAGGTGGTTTTCCTTGGACAGGGCCTTTGCTGAGGGGAGACCGGAGTCTGGGTGAGGTCTGGGGCCATGGCCCCGGTGCTGGAGCCGTGCTGGTGACCATTCCTCCTGGGAGCAGCTGGTGCCGGCCAAGTGCCACTGCCGGCAGTACTGGTTCACGGCCGGCTTCCTGCCCGGCTCTGCGACACGGCCGATTAGGAGCTGCTGTTCCACCCCAGAAGTGACAGTGCTGGGCTGCGAGGACTTCACTGTGTGAGATAAGGAAGGTGCCGGCGGCTGCGGCCTGGCTCGGGTGTTGTCAGACACAGCCCATTAGCGGGAGAGCGCTGTGGGGAGTGGTTCTGCCAGCAGCCTCTCGGTGCTTCCCGGAATCACCTGGAAGACATCCCGGGTCATCTCTCAGCGTTAGAAATGTCCTGCTCCTCCTGCCGCGGGGGACGCAGGGAGTGCACAGCCACCTCCAACCCACTGTTCCTGCGCTGGGGGCAGCACAACCCACTGCCCCAAAGCCCTTAAGCTGAGTTGGTTTAGCCAAGGACATTCTGCGAGGCTGTAGTGCGGTGGGAGCCGACGGGCAGTCCCTTTCTGGTGGGATTGTGCTGACGCCAGTGTCTGCCCCACGGCTCACGGCCTCTCTTCAGCCGTCTGCCTCGGCAGAGAGCAAATCCCAGGGCGAGCAGCTGGCGGCACAGATGTGTGCTCGCTCCCCCTGCTCCTGCCGGGGCGTGGGGCTGCACTCCCACCCCCTTCCCAGCATCTCCCCGTGGGGACAGCAGCGAGGCTGAACCCACCCCAGAGCAGAACTGACCAGAGCAGTGGTGTGGCTCAGACGCCTCTGGACCGCGGGGAACCATCCTGGCTGCTCCTGCCTGGCCGAGCTGCAGCACCGGTGAGAGGATGTGGGGAGCACAGTCCTGTCCTGGCACCGTGTCCTGAGCTGGGCCCCATCATGGCTCAGGCTGGCCCCAGGGAGAGGGGGATTGGGCAGTGCTGGTAATCCTGCTTCACCCAAGGGATTACTGCTCACTCTGGCCTGGGGATTAAGGGATTTCTCTAAGCAGGGTTGATGCAGCCTCCAGCAAAGCAGCTTGTGCCAGGGGGCCTCGCTGTCTGGGGCAGGATGGGTGTGTGGTGGCAGGGTGGGCGCTGCAAGGTGTGGGGGATCCCCAGAGGAGGGTGGGCTGCCAGCTCTGCAGCAGGCTCCTCACCCAGGTAGTCCCTGCCCTCCTCGCCACCAGCCTGCAAAGGCCTGTTTGGCCAGTGGGTGCTGGCAGCCCTTTGGCACAGGCTTGGCTGTCCCATGCTGGGACCATGGCATGTCCCATGCTGGGACCATGGCATGTCCCTGGGCACCAGGAAGCGCTGCTGGGGGAGCTGCTGCTGATGTCCCAGCCCTTCCCTTGCACAGTGTGGGGTCAGCCTGGGCAAGTTCCTGTGCCCAGCTTGGGGAGCCACTCTTCCACAGAGCTCAGGGATGGACTTCCAGGTCAGAGGCAGAGAGGCAGTGCTTGGGGAGCAGAGCCAGGGACTTGGGCAGAGGCAGTTCCTCTCCTGAGGTGTTTGGAGCAGAGAACAATGAGCCCTGCTGCTGACACTTGCAGTCATGTCAGGGCTGTAGCTGTGGTTTGTAAACGCCCCACCTTGCCTGGACAGGCTGCAAGGACCCAGCCAGGCATCCAGGTCACTCTGTGTGGGAGATGCCACCTGGCCCTGCTCATCCCAGCCACAGCACCCACGTGCCTGTGGCACACTGGGGTTTCTCCAGATGCCAGTCCAGGCCCAGGCAGGCGCTTGTACAGCATGTGCCCAGCTCGGCCTCCCCTGTGCCCCCGGCTCCCTTCGCTTGCCCTTTTGCCTCCTGGTGATGTGGCAACCGCTGCTCTGGCCCCTGGGAAAGGGGAAGTGGTGTTGAAACAGAAGGTCAGTCACATCAGCAGTGAGGGCCTGGCTGCCATCGGAGCCCTGTCAGCTGCCCTTCTCCACTCTCTCCTCCCTCTGCAGTCAGGGATCAGGGACTGCTCCTGCCTGCCAGGGTGCCCTTCCCCACTGCCTGCCCCGTCTGGGCTTCTGCCTGCCCTGCTCAAGTTACTCCTGGCTCAGCGATCCCAGTGGATGCAGGGGCGGGTGAGCGGAGCTGTCGAGCTGCTCCTGCCCTGACAGGCCCTGGGGTTTGTTACTCATGGCCGTGCCCTGTGCTCAAGATCGCTCCTGCTTTGAGGAAAGGAGCTGTCAGTCCGGTTTGGGTTTGCTCAGTGCCTGTGGGGTGGGAGGCTGGCAGGGTTGTGCATTTCCCCAGCTCCACAGCTGTCCCCAGCCTGGGATCCCAGGGCACGACCCCCAGTTCCTGCTGCAGGAGCCCCGCACTCAGCGCCTCAGCAGAGTGGGCAGTACCCCTGGGCCATGACCAGAGGTGCTGGCACGCAGGGCCGGCTGAGCCTGTGGGGCTGGGTCAGAGCTGGGGCTCAGGCCCTGCACCCCAGGAGCGGGGGCTGTGCTGGCACCCCCACGCTCGCACCGCCGTGCTTCTCTGGGTGCACCTTCCTTCCTTCATGCGGCGCTCGTTGCTATGCGACCGCCAGCTCCTGATGCTTAATGCTCTAATACGGAGGGATAAAACCTCTCTAAAAATACCCCGCTGCCGGCCCCCTGCGGGGGCAAGGGGGCTGCCGGGGGCAGGCAGCCCGGGCAGGGGGGCTGCTGGGAACTTCCCAAACTCCTCGTCCTCCAAGTGGCTTTGAGGCACCCGCTGTGGCTCCGGCGGTGGCACGGGCTGGCGTGCCGGTGCGGCGGGGATTGGCTGGGGCTGGCGCGTGGGCTCCTGCGGCTGGAGCTCCCCTCGCAGAGCCAGAGCCAGCTCCAGACACAGCCGGGACTGCTCCGGCTGCCCTGCTCGCGCCCTGCCCAGGCACGGGGAGCTGCCCTCGGTACTGGCTGCCTGCCTAGTACCGGGGAGCCCACTGCTCGGCCACGCGCGCCTGCCCGGCCTCCGTGTGCACCTGCCTGACCTCTGCCCGTCCCTGCCTTGCCCTCCCGGAGCTGGTGGCATCCTGCGTGGGACCCCCGCGGCATGGGGACGGTCAGCGAGCTCTGCGCCTCCAGTTTCCAGGCGTTCCTCTGCCCCTCGGTGGCTGCCAAGGCAGGTAGGCACGGCGTGCCCCCCTCCCCTCTGTGCCGCGGGGCTCCCATCCCCCAGCAGACACGGCAGGGCCCATGGCTTCAGCTCCAGATGGCTCTGGCTCCATATGGCTCCTGCTGAAAGCAGCACAGAGTGTCCTCACCATCTCACTGCCTCCTTCCTCTGCCGGCCTTCCCCAGCTTGGGCCTCTGCAAGCGCCGGGCCCCTCGCCTGGCATTGCCCTGGAGCTGGTGCCATGGTGGGACAGGGGTGTTGGGGAGCAGGCAGTGGCGGCTGGGAGGTCACAGGCAGCACAGGATGGCCGTGGCAGGTCCTACCCCAGCCCCTCCACCCTGCCCCAGAGGGTGTGTGAGTGCTCGGTGCCCTCATCAGAAGTGCTGGTGGCTACAGAGGGCAGAGTGGCACTCTCCAAAGGGAATTCTGTGTGGGAAAGCCCAGCCGCTGCCACGCTGTGGGTGTGCTGAAGGTCAGCCACCTCTGTGACCTGCTGGCTCGTGCCCAGCTGTGGGACTGGGAGCTGTGCAGTGGGGCAGGGGGTTGTGGGACCCCCTTGGCCAGTCCTGTGGCTGAGCTGGGCTCTGCTCCTCTCGAGCAGGTGAGGTGCCTGCCTGGCTGCATTCCTTGCACAGGCACAGTGTAGGCATGGCTGAGCTGGAGCTCACCCAGCCATGCTGGAGGCTGGGGGTCTGTGCACGGGAATGTTGGAGCCTTGAGCCACTGGGAGCAAGGTAGTGGCTGTGG